GGACATGGCCAGCTAACGTGAGACACTCCAAAGGACTTCTCGTAGTGACAGCCCATGCCTTATTTTAAAAGATGAAGTATTGAGGTGGTTCTGGGGGAGCGGGTGAGTGTTAAAAGTTTGGGGAGCGGTCGTAGGCTTTGGAGCGAAGGTTGCGATGACCGCACCTAGGGAATGAGAACGTGTCTTTAAAGTGAAAAGGCAGCTCTGATTTGTGTTTAACTTGCTCCCTGAGTCCTGAGTTCAGGTTTTCATATTTCCTGGGCAGCGTGCCCGGATTATGCGAAAGAAAAACAAAAAATCTCTCTGACACGGCATGGAGGGAGACCTGGATTTCACAATTAAAGCACTTTTATTTTGTCTTTTTTTGTCTCTGTCAGACTTCCCTCTTTGTGCAAATGTCCCGTTACGAGTTTTTAAACCACTTTTTTCTTCTTATTTGACTGCAAAGAGCAGTTTTGATCTGAAAAGGGACTGAACAGCGATGGGTATTTTTACGTGCAGCCACTTTGTTTTCCAGGTGAGGGCTTTTTCACTCAGAATTATTCAACTTTCCAGGCTTTTGACAGTTAATCTTGCTTGGTGGCTTTTGTTTTTCTCGACCTTCTCTCTCTCAGATGATGCAGTTGATTTATTTTATTTGTCTCCAATGAGGATTCACAGGCATAAGAGAAATTCGTGCTGGAGGAAAGAGGCCTCGCGTTGCTGCTTGGTCTTATTTAATCTTGAGGGCTTCTGGTCAGAAACAAAGGCTGTAAAAGTAGAGCTCAGCAATATCTCTTAGTAATGTCTCTCCGGTGCCTAAGTCCCGTTCCCTGGGTTGTTCTTCATATTAAAACTCTGCTTTTTCCCAGAGAGGCTAGGTGCAAATCTGCCGTATTAACGCACGTGGAAGCTACTCGTGTGTGCATTGTAAAAATCTGTGGGTTTTATGTATGTTCTTAACCTTTTTTCATGAACAGTTAAAAAAAGAAAGCCTGTTTCCCAAATGTAGGTCATTATAAGCGTAAGTCTGCCCGACTGCACATGATAGCTGGCTTATCAATAAGTTTATCGTCCTGTGCTTGCTCGTCACGTTTCCTTAATTAAAGCTTCGAGAGTGACTTCTCGTGTAAATCTCTCTCTAAATTGGTAAACGTCTGCCTTACAACTATCAGATGTTGAAAGCTGATAGGAAAAGGCACGTAGAGGATCTGTTGTGCATAATAGGTGTGACTTCTGTACATTTTTGATGTGGAAAGTATTTCCAGGACTCGGGGTGTTAGCTGGTGTGCTGAGTTACCTGCATTTGAAGTGGTTCTGACTGCTGAGGTTAGGAGCATAAATGATATTTCGGCTGCAAAATGAAGTATACAGGGATTTTATTCTAGCCAGTTTGGGGTTGTTTTGTGTTTCTTTTCCTCTAAAAGGTGCTTTATCTAAAAGAGACACAAATTCAGGAGTTGGCTGTGCTCTTGATTCCTGGAGGGGAAGTGGGAATTGACATAATACTGGTATAATACTCACTTCCTTCAGGGTAGCTTTGCCTTTTGCTGCTTCTAATGCAGCAGCACCTTGGTGGATGCGTGCTCTGCAAAACATGTGTCCTGTTGTAGGAAAAGGGGACGTGCCCGGTTTCCCCCCTCTGAAAGCCTTGTCACAAAGATTTCGGAGAGCAAAAACTTCCCACCTTCATTTTTAGGCCTGTTTTCCAAGGTGTGCTTAAAAACCCAGTTCTGCTTTCAAGGCCTGGTTGTAAAATTGGGGTTTAAAAGCAGGTGGTGTTGAATAAGTTGGCACGCTGAAGGATTGCTGCTCCGGGGTACAGCGTGGCTGAGCATGGCCCCCGTGCCTCTGCTAACGTCCCATCACTACCCCAACCTTACTCCTGCTTTTCCCTTCGCATTTAGAAAGCATTAGGAGTTTGAATGTTGTAGTTGATGTGGTGTGGGTGAAGCCACCTGGGTAGCCCTGGTGCCGTCCCTCGGTGGCCTCGCGTGAAGATGGGTGAGTTACCATTACCCTGTTTCCACCTGCTCGCTGCAGCCTTTCGTCTCGCCTCTGTTATTAACGCTGACCGCTCTGGCAGCGCTCTGCTTTTACAGTGAAAATCAAGAACGTGTGGGCTGTGAGTGTTACCTTAAGACACGTGGTAAACGCCACCTTGGCCTTCCAGAAGCGGCTCCTTTTGGGTCTGCCCCAGTGAAGTCCAGCACGAGGTGGTGGTGAAGGGCAGGGCTGCGAGTCCTGGACCCTTGGGGGAGAAATGCCACAAAAGGGGATAGTGGGTGCTGGCATTCATCTGCCGATATTGATGGGTGGTAGCAGTTTGGGTAGGATTTGCCAGCATGGTTTGAGTCGCAGACAAAAATTCAGGATAATTCATAAAATTGCCATCAAAATTCCTCTTCTTTATGCCTCCTTCCTTTGGTCACCTCAGAGATGCCTTGTCACAGCATCATTAAGGTTGGAAGAGACCTCCAAGGTCATCAAGAGAGACCACCCTCTCCAATTACTAACTGGAAATCACTAATGGGTGCGATATGGCTTTAATAACCACCAACACTTATAGACAGAGCGAGGGAACACGCTTGCAAGTGTTCCTTAATGTCTTTTTCCAAGGGTTGTTTGTAAGAGCAGGCATCCAGCTCAGTGTTAGAAGAATCAGTGCTCTCTAGCACGCAGTTAGTTTATAAGGACTTAAATAAATTGGAAAAAAAAATACACCCAGTAACTTTTGGAGGTCGTCTTTAAGCTACCAGAACAAAGCCTCATTCTTAAGGGAAGCTTTACAGGCTCCCAAAGTGTTTTAAATGCTGTCCACCCAACGAAAAGTGAAGGCAAGGAGCCTTGCAGTAGCTTAGTAGGAGGATTTTCTTTTTAAACTGAGTTTGCTAACCTGGAGGAAAAGGCAATGTGAAAGTTTTGCTTCCGTTTTCTACTTCTGTTAATGTAACTGAAGTCCACGACCTACAAATTTGCTCTTAAATGGTTTTCAGCCTAAGTAAACTCCTTAACGGCTGCAGCGTAGTGCAGACATCCTCATAAAGAATGATTGCGTCCAGCACCAAGTGCAGGTTTTTCCGCTTTGTTCTGCAGCGCAGGTATTGCCTAAGCTGCTCCTGGTGGTGACTGGTGGAGAGCACTGATCTGAGTCTGGCTTTGGAAAACAGCCCCGTGGTTCTGCAGAACCGAGAGCACCCGTTGGCATCGGGCACTCCTGGGGTGGGCTTGGCTGGAGCAGGGGAAACCCTTGATCCTGTCGGTCTTCCCTTCACTCCTGTCGGTCTTCCCTTCGATTCTGACGGTTTTCTTCCCTCCTCTCCCAAGGACGTATTTGCTGCCAGTGGAAAGATCCCTGCAAGTTCATTTTTTTAACTTTTGTTTTCTTCTCCCCCTGTGTAGTCACGTTCAGTCTTTATTTATGGACCCAAATGGTGACCGAAAGCCATTTTCAATGAGTGCACAGTGAATTTTTAGGCCTGTGTTACCCTTTTTTCAGCAAGGACGAGGTAGAGTTGATTACAAAATACACTAAGTTCTGTCAACAGAGGACTTGTGAACCCACCTCTGGTGTCTCTACTTCAAACCTTCTTTTATCAGTCCCTCTCTAAGTGCATCCTTTCTTCCTCATCCCTTCCCATGTCCCCTGACTGGGATGGTCCAGATTGCCAACAACCAGTTGGCCGATGTACGTTCTCATTGCAAACCAGATCGGATACCTTCTCTAACTCCTCTCTCCTCTTCATAACAATTCAGGTTTCAGTGCTGGGTGTTTTTCAGCCCTGATGTCTGGGGGAAGCACCTGGTCTGGCACCGGGGACCCACTGCGGTGCGGCTGAATGAGGCTGGAAACAAAACCGGCTGTTAAATTTTGCCCGCTCGACATAATCAAACTTGAGAGAGTCCTCACATTTCCTGTAAAATGGGATATTAATTTGGTCATTGGGGTGTGTTAATGAACAGCTACAATAAGCTTATGGAAATTTATGTGAAATTAGAGGATTGGCATATCGGGCGAGAGATCAGGGCAACTTCTTCTTACTAAATTGACATTGAGACAGCTCATGAAGGTGCTGGATAAATTTTGCTGCAACAGGGAAATAAAGTAACTGTTGCACAGCCTGTGCTGTGGGTTATGGGAACGCAGTTTTAAAAACAAAGTGCTAAAAAACACTGGCATTTGTAGTTGTAAAGTGGATAAATGACCAGAAACGAGGTGATGGAGGGGGAAAGGTTGCAGTGTAAAGGAATGAAAGGGCTTTGCTTATTGCTCTTAACTTGTTTGATGCACTGGAGTTAAGCTCTTACAGTCAGAACTGCTCCGTCACGGTGCGCGTGTGGGTTAATCTTTATCCACGCTCTTTCGAGACAAGTGGGCATTGCTAATGCTGGAAATCACCTGGCTTATTCCGAAATGCACTTCTGGGAAAGAGGGTTTCGGATACACCAGGGAAAGGGCTTTCTTGAATCCGAGGCTTTCAGGGAAGCGGTGGGGATGCCCGTGGCTGTGGGGTTTCTTTAGGCGCGAGGAGTTTAAGCATATGGAGATCTGTTCCCCTCAAGCCCTGCCTCTGCTGCGTGTTACGGTGCTGATTTGGCATTTTGAATGCACCACAGCTGGCAGTAGAAGCAGTGAAAGCCGTTGTAGATGTAGCTGCAGGATTGTAAAGATGAAGTAGGTGAGCTGCTGGCATTGAGCGGTGGGTGTAACTATGGAGGCCTGGAGGATGCTGGTGTGCTGGGTGGTGGACTAGGACATGAGGGTAGTGGTTACAGGCAGGCACCAGCTCTGGGGGATCCTGAGGACCAGCTTGGGTGTTGCTACTTCTTTTTTTTACCTTCCTGGTGCCCAGATGGCTCTGCTGGGCATGGCCTGGTGATCGCAGGGGGAGGACGCTGTGCTGAGCGTGACCGAGAGCGTTGACTCGATAAGTCTTAATGCTGCTTTCCGTAAGTGTGACGCCTAATTTTCTCTCCTCTCTTTCCTTCCGCAGGCTGCCCTCGGGAGAGGCAGTGGGAGGCAGTGGAGCTGGCCTCGGCACCGGGAGAGGCTGGACTTCCCGTCTCTCTGTGCTGAATGGCTGCGATGGCGCCCGCTCTCACTGACGCAGCAGCTGAAGCTCACCACATCCGATTCAAGCTGGCTCCCCCGTCCTCCACCTTGTCGCCTGGCAGTGCCGAGAGCAACGGCAACGCCAACAACATCCTCCTGGCTGCCAACGGCACCAAAAGGAAAGCCATTGCTCCGGAGGATCCCAGTTTAGATTTCCGAAACAACCCGACGAAGGAAGAGCTGGGCAAGCTGCAGCCGCTAGTGGCCTCTTATCTCTGCTCGGATGTAACATCTGTTTCTTCAAAAGAGCCTCTGAAGCTGCAAGGAGTCTTCAACAAGCAGACAGTCCTTAAATCTCACTCTCTCTTATCTCAGTCCTTCTTGAAAACAAGTGATCTGTTGGGGAGGCAGCCGGTGTTGGAATTCACTTTGGAGAATCTCAAAACAATGAGTACTAATAGCCAGCCACCTCTCCCGCAAGCGCCTGTAAATGGCTTGGCCAAGAAATTGGCCAAAAGTACCAATTCAGACCATGAAAACTCGAGTTCTCTGAACGGTGGGAAGTGTGCTCCTCCTGCTGCTGCCCTCCAGGGTGTTGACTATAACGCAGGAGGTTCTGAATTGGGGGACTTGAAGACCGGGTTGACCAATTGCACTCTTCCACACAGAAGCCTTGATGCAGAGCACGCAACTCCCTTTAGCAATAATAGCACTGCAAACAAATCTTCCCTTAATTCCACAGAGCAACAGCGGGTGCTGGAGGGTGGCAGTGGAGAGACCAGGCTGCCCGGTGTTGCTGGGCACTCCGACTTCGGGAGCAGTAAGTTGGAGGAGCAGAAGCCTTCTCTGTTGGCCGGTCAGCACAGCGCTCTCGACTCGGAGATGAGGACGAGGGCGTTGCTGCGACGGCAGGCGGACATCGAGAGCCGTGCCCGCAGGCTGCAGAAACGCTTGCAGGTGGTGCAGGCGAAGCAGGTGGAGAGACACATCCAGCAACAGTTGGGTGGCTTCTTGGAGAAAACTCTGAGCAAGCTTCCGACTTTGGACCCCCTGAGGCATCGAAGCCAGCTGATGTTGACCAGAAAAGCAGAAGCAGCCTTGAGGAAAGCTGCGAGTGAGACAGTGACTTCAGAAGGCCTGAGCAGCTTCTTGAAGAGCGATTCGATATCGGAGGAACTGGAGCGATTCACGGCCAGCGGTATGGCCAACTTGAGATCCAGCGAGCAGGCGTTTGACTCGGATGTCACTGACAGCAGCTCGGGAGGAGAGTCGGACGTTGAAGAGGAGGAACTGACCAAAGCAGACCCAGAACAGCCCCACGTACCGCTGTGAGTAGCCGCCGTGCTTTGCTTTCCTCTGCTGGGGGGAAAGGTGGCTAGATCTGCAACACTTTGTTTCTTGATGGGCTTAGATCGAAGAAGTAATGGTTGTAAGTAGCGTGGGGTGATTTGCAGCACACCTCTAGTGCGAGCAGCATGCGCAACATCGGAGATAAAATTCTTCGTGCATGCAGTAATGGTTGGTGGTGGTGTGGAGCAGCAGGGCCTGGAAATACTGGCTGGGGGGGGGCAAGCGTGCTGCAGATACAAACCCGAAATGCTCAGCAGTTCTCTCCACGAAGTGTTGGGCCTGTCCCCTGAAATGAAATGTGTTTTTTCAATGGGAATCTTTGTTGTAAACCAGTTACTTAGAGTAAGGCTGCTCTGCATCTCTGTAGCTGACAGGGTGCTGGTGACTGGGGAAATAAGTTTTTTGTTAAATTAACTGCCTGGGGAAAAAAAAAACCTCTGAAGGGATTTGGTTCATGTGGCAGTGGAGCTGCGCAGTGAGCGTGTGCTTTTCTTCAACCTGGGAAATTACTGCTGGGAATTTTCTTCTTGTCTGTGAGTTGCGTTAATTGATGACAACAGCCTCATGATTATGTTGTTAACTGGGTGCTGTTTGCATAAGTGCTGGGTGTCCGTTTGTGTGTGGAGGAGGAGGATCCTCGCCAAGGCCAAAGGTCTTGAGACGGGTCAAGGAAGAAGGGAAACTTTTCTTCCAAAATGAAGAGTTTTCCCTAGGAGTGTATTTTGCACAAACCCCTTACAAGGTGTTATCCTGTGTCTGGTCTGTGGGAAGCCTTGCTTGCAGCAGTAGGTGGTCTCTTCCACCCTGCTGGACCCACTGAGCGTAAACCATGGTCGACAGAAATCTGCAGCAGTCACAGGGGTCCTGTTGGGACCGCGGGCGGCTTTGCCACCAGGATTGGAAACGGTCCCCAGGACTTTGTGCTGTCCTGGGTTTGTCCAGGTCTCTGTGGAGAAATGGCTCGCTGTATTTTGAGCTCAGTTGTCCAAAGTGATGTTGATGGCTGGACGGGTGCTGCGTGACACCAGTTTTGCTAAACTGGGTGGGTGGATGTGAGCAGTGCGTGTACTTGGGAACTTCAGCGTCCTCCAAAATCACTCCCACGTTGACGAGTGCTGATAAACTGATGTTACAGCTCTCAACACTGAACTCCAGCTAAGTGTCAAGTCATGTTTTGGGATGCTGGCGTAGGATGAATCTGTGTATGGGAAACCTTGAATGTGGCTTTCTCCCAGAGCAAAGCTGGTAGCCGAGCACGTGATCCCTGCTGGAAATGAGAGGTTAATAACTTCATTCCTGTTGTAGAATGTCCACAAACTTACTCTTGGGATTAGTAGTAAAACTGCATTTGTAAGTATTGTCGTAGTTATTAGAGGAGACATTTGATTAAAATTCTGTCCAAAAGTAATATTAAATCTCCCGTACTGTGGGTTTCATCGATTCACGTGTCTAGCAAAGTGAAACGTCTTCGCCACTCATCTTAATCCCAGGAGGAAGTGCGGCGTTCAGAGGCACGATGCGTGAAATCCTTTGCTGGCTTTCCTGCCCTTCGTGTTAGTCATGCCTTTACGTTCCCCAGCCTCCCGAGCGCTCTTAGAAAAGCCAAATACTTTAAAGCTCATAAAAAGAACGATCCTTCTGTTGTCTCTAGGCTGAGAAGCTGGTGTGTGTGCACCAAACCCCGTTTCGAGTTGATGCCGGTGGGTATTTAGCAATTGCTCCTCCCAGCATTGACTGGGCACGAGTGCTTTGACATCGGCTCTCAGGCTCTGGCGTTGCTGTGGTCGAGGCTTGAACGCACATTTATGCTTGTTAGCGAAACTCCTGAAGTCAACCTTAAGCATCTGAGGGTTTCTAAATACCATTCTTCAAAGCGGTGCTGGGACAGGAAGGGGGAGAGCTGACTTTTCCATGGGGAGGCCGCCTTGGGCCAGCTCATTGTACAGAGCCCTTGTTTCTTGTTTGTGCGGGCGCAGAGAAGCCAAGGCTCTTTCCAGGGTTGCATTTTGCAGCTCGCCGAGTTTATTTATTAGAGGGAAGACTTTTACCCTGATTATTTCGGTCTCGGTAGTGAGACGGAGTATCTTTATCAGCGTAAAAACTCCTGTCTCATCCCTTGGCTGTGAATTGTTCCTGGGTGCCTCTGCTTTCCCCCAGAAAAACATTTAGATGCTCAGTTATGATAAAAATGCGGTGTTGTAGCTCGCTTGCCATAAGTGGCCGTGTGGCTGACTGCCTCTAGGATTCAAGCAGAAGCATGCAGCAGAAACAAAGACGAGTTTACATCATGCGTAGATAAGAGCTGACCTTTGAGTTTTTCTGGCGCGGTGGCATTCCAGACTCCTATCTGGTCAAGGACAGACTTGGAAGCGTTTGTGCTGTTCTGACCCACCTGATCTCAGCTTTCTCAGCGTCTCCCTGAGGGTTTGCATCTTCCCAGTAGCGTTTGGGATCTATCTGGACTTGGTAGGTCTTTTTAAAGCACTCCTATTGCTGCTGCCCAGCGAGGTGCTGCCATTCAGGTGCAAAACCAGGCCAGCACGTAATGTGTAAACAAAGCAGGGAGGTGTTCGTTACACCTCTGTTGGGAAGCCCTGCCGGCTATGGGCTTGGTTTAACAACGCGCTGCTGGTTCCCATGCAGCCGATGGGGAAAGGGAGCGCGGGCAGACAGCGCTGGTTCGTGGTGCATTTGTAGGTTTGTGCGGATCGAGGACCACCGCGTTGCATTTCGTTTGCTCGCGGGTGAATGACGTGACAGCTCTGCGCTTCACAGTTAAGATGCTCTTGGTGTCGCTTCAAAAGTGTGCGTGGTGGCGGAGAGAGGAGCTGGAGGAGCTTTGCCTCTGCTGGGTGGTGGTGAAGGTGAAGGTAGGTTGGAGTCTCCTCTAACCCTGCTGAGCTGCTTTGGCTGGATGTGACCACAAACCCGGGGCTGCTTTGGAGGAGCCTGAACATCAGCCTGGGGGTTCAGGAGCTGCTGCTCAGAGCAGGGCATGGGAATCCCTCCCAATGCTGGAGGGCCTCTGCTGGCTCTGCCTCTGTGGCCAAGCCGTGGTTTGGGAGTAACCAGAGTCCTGGTGCGTCTGTGGCCCTGTGCTAACACGTCCAAGTAGGAAATGCTTCGTGTGGCTTGTGTGTCTTTATAGCAGTTGCTTTTCTCAGTCGGGTCGGTTTCTTTGGTTGTCTTGCGTTTCACTGCAGACTGGTTTCATCAGAATTTGTCAGTTACTTCTGGCTGATTTGTTGCCTATGTCGAGCAGCAACGTAGTCATTAGCTGGCGATGGGTACGTGATTTAGCCTCTGCAATCCCCTACTTCAGTCTGTGTACTGTAGAAAAAAATTGTGAAAAAGTATTGAGAACAAATATTTAGTTGGATTTTACCTTTTCGTTCAGGTTTCTTACCTGGAAAGCCACTGTTTGGATGGGAGTTACACCACGTTGCTGAGAGCGAGCTGGAGTTCCTGGTGTCTACTCACACCACGTCCTACGGGGTCAGACAGCGCCCGCAGTGCTCGGCTGCGGTTGTTCCCCTGCCCATGGCCACGATGCCTAAGCACACTTTAATTATCCCCATTTACTGGTGGGAAAACCAAGCACCTTCTGCTCTTTGGTGTTGCCGTGAATCATTTCACAGCCTTGGAGCCCGCGTGTTGGCTCCTCCCTGTGCTGGGTCACGTCGTGCTGCCCTGGTTTCAGAACTGGACTTGGAGTAGTAATGAAGATTTCTCAGAATTTAGCGCTGACAAAAGCCCGTATTAATGTCCTGTGTTGGAGAGGGATGCCTGGTGCTGGTGTCAGTGGTTGGTTGAGAGGTGGTTGCTGTTGGTGCATCAGTTAACTGAGAAATACGATTGAGAAATCCTGATTTTTCTCCCTTGATTATATTTTTCAAGCCAGAGCGTGATGAGGAAGCCTGTGTCTCAAGGGCTGTTGAATAGCATTTCTCAAACCTGTGACTTCGGAGCTGTAATTCAGATGGCAAATCCCCCGCTGTGGAAACTAAGGAAGCTTTTCCTGCTGGTCACAGACGTTTCACTGACTGATTTATGCGGAGCAGTTGTAAAAACCTGTGTCTCCTCTTTATGACTTACTCAGTTACCTGCTTGGATTTGCCTCTTGTTCTTGACTTCTTGCAGGCACTGACCACAGCCTCGCCTTCTACTTTTCAGCTATTTATGAGAAGTTGCATACATGGCACCCGAATTGCTTGTAATCCACGTGCTGTCAGCAGCATTTCGTTGCTCGAGAGGTGTCCCTCAAGCGTCTTTCAGTTGGGAAGAGAGAAAGCAAGCAAATCCTGAACGTGTTCTTGCTTTGCATTTGAAAGCAGAATAGCAGCGAGCGCCTCATTGTTCAAAACCGCTTAATCAGGTATCCAGAGTAAGTAGGGCACCGCGAGCCTGTTAAGAAAAGAGGGCAAACGAGAACAGTGCTTGAGAGAGATCTGAGGAGAAACGAGTTACTTCTCCGAGAAACGTTGGTCATACTGCAGCTTGTGTAGATACAGCGGGTGTCTAATAAGTGAATATTGAGTTATATTCAAGCCTTGATCCTCATGCAGACCTCAGTGAGGTACAGAAGGGGTGCTTTTGGCCTAGGTACCCACGTTGCCACCCATAAAACTCGGTGAGGCAGCGGCGTTGGCTTTCAGCCCCGAGGGAGTCGGATGCATTGGTTTAAGTTCATTTTTTTGGGCTGAAGTGCCCGGTGTTTCAGGGAGGGGAGCGGAAGGGAACCAGCGCTTGGGTTGTGTGTGTGAAGAGGTGCTGCGATGCAGGGAAGTGTTGGAGTTTGGTGTGTGGGGTGTTGGATGCAGACGAAGCATCCCTGCATCCTTCTCGCTGATGCCTTTAGTGCTCTTGCAGGGTTTTGGGTGGCTCTGTTCACCCTCAGATCTTCTCTGCCTGTTTCTTGGGCTGCGCTGTGCTGGTTATATGTGATAACACAGAGGACTGGAAAGGCTTTGGTGTCTGGCACT